TATCTCTGTTTTGTCATACATCACTAAATTTATTCTCAAATATTTCACTCCTTTACCAACCCAGACACTCTCTCGTACATGCGAAAAAAACGTCATTATAGTGCTATTATATTTTAGCCCAAGATGGACTGTAGCCTCCTCCATTTTCGTCTTCCGTGAACACCTCAGCTGTTAATCTTTGTTTCATCTCTCTTTATGTAAGCGCCTGTCACATAAAGAGTGTCTTGGAATCTTTTATATCCCAGACAGCCGAAAGAAAGGCCTGTGAAATCCTCTTCTCTCTGTGCTGTGGTCCTTTCTGCAACTGTCAGCATTTCAGTCGCCGTCTCAATGTCCGTGTTACATCATTCGAGATGGATATAAACTGTAGACTTGGTGGCTGGACTTGGTATTAAATACTTGACAATACTTCTCTCTCATTTATTCACTCGCTTTGTCTCTTTGTCTTTCTGTCTTTTACTTCGTTTCTCTCTATGTGTCTCTCTCTCTCGTTTTTTCTCTCTGTCTTTTACTTCGTTTCTCTTCATCTCTCTCTCTCTATCTATCTATCTGTCTATCTATCTATCTATCTATCCATCTCTCTCTCTCTCTCTCTCTCTCTCTCTCTCTCTCTCTCTCTCTCTCTCTCTCTCTCTCTCTCTCTCTCTCTCTCTCTCTCTCTCTCTCTCTCTCATTCACTCTCACTGACTCACTCCCTCTCTTTCCCTTTCTTTCCTCCCCTCTTTCTCTCACTCTAACCGCGTATGTGTATCTACTCCCCTGTCTGTTTGTCTGTTCACGCATTCGCTCATGAATTTGCACACATTTCCTTTCATTTTCGCGAGATTTTACTTGGGTTTTAGAGAAAACGTGACCTTTCCGTTCTTGACAGTCTGCATCCAAGCACGTGCCTAATAATTGATGCTCACTTCCGGGTAGATTAGGCAAACAGACGTGGAAATTGCCGCGAAAAACTAAAATCTTATTTTCCCTGCGAAACCGATGCAAAATAAGGGGATTGGTATTAGTACATCAGAACAACACGAAGGCTTTTAAAGAGTTATACTGCGTGAGTGCACGGATATCCACGGATGTAAATCCCCACAGAGATATTTGGTTATTTTCCATTTTTCGTTCCCACACATACATACATATACACAAACACGCATGCAGACATATACGTACACACACAAAAACGCACTCACACACATGCACACACACACATATTCTCTCTCTCTCTCTCTCTCTCTCTCTCTCTCTCTCTCTCTCTCTCTCTCTCTCTCTCTCTCTCTCTCTCTCTCTCTCTCTCTCTCTCTCTCTCATATGAATAAATATTCATCTATCTGTTCCTTTGTCTATTTATATGTATGCATATATTTCTTTCTTTCGCTCTCTTTTTCTCTCTCATTTCCCCCCCATATATGTCCATACCTGAGAGCAAATTGGCTTTCTACATTATGGTTGTATTTCAATATTTTCCTCGGATTCTTCCAAGTTATTCGCCCATTAATGCCAGCACTATGATCTACAAGCAACTAACAAAAAGAACAAACACAACGAAAAAAAACAAAAACAAAAAAAAACATCGACATCTATCTTCCAATAATTTAGTAATGAACCAATGTAGACTATTTATAAATACAGTCTACCTTGTATCTACTTTTTCTTCCTTTTCTCTTTATTGTTTTTTTTTTGTTTTGGGTTTGTTTTCAATGAACCCTAATTTCGATAAAAGCAAAACAAATTGATTGTATCTGCTTTCTCACTGGCTCACTAACCCTCGGAGTCGATCGAGTGTGAGAGTCAGGTATTTTCTGTTTGGACTCAATGAACCTGTACTATGAGAGAGTGGGGGGGGGGAGGAGAAAAGAGGCGGGTTTGGGAAGGGGAGAAGGAGGACGAAAAAGAGAGAAAGAGGTAGGGTAGGGGAGGGAGGAAGAGAGATAGAGAGGATATGGGAGAGAAGAAGAAAAGAGAGAGAGAGGAGAGGAGAGAGAAAAGAAAAAAAAAAAATTTTTGACTTCCATTTTTCCTCATTTGTTCTATTTGTACTCATCTATACAGTATGTAGCATATCTTTCTCTTGCAAGAAATAATAAAGATAATGATAATGATAATGATAAAACATATTCAATACAACTTCCTAACAAGTCACGTTCCATAAATACCGATGCTCACAATTTCTTACCACCCCCAACAAAAACAAAAAATAATAATAATTAAATAATAAACAGATCTCTACAATCCCCCAAAAAAACAAATCTCTCCAACATATAAACCACCTAGAAAACATACAGAAACAAATAATAATTAAAGAAAAAAACGAACACACCCACTCAAAAATGCGTAACCCTAAGATCCCTATAAGCTATCAACTTTTGATCAAATTTGGCGTAACGAGAACGGGACCCAGTTGTCTCTTTAGGCTATTAAGATCAGGCCTCAGGAGTACGTAGTTACGTGCTCGGCTTAGAGATTAACAACCGTGGTATTTAGTGCGACGAAAAAAGTGGTTGTTAGCGAAGGCGGGAACGCAAGATGGTCTTCGGTTTCGCAGTAGAGTGTGAAGGGGAAGCGGCTTCTTCTTTTTCTTTTTTTTCTTCTTTTCTTTTCTTCTTATTTTACTCCTTGTTTTCTTCTTCTTCTCATTTTTTCTTCTTTCTTTCTTTCTTCTTCTTCTCTCCTTCTTTCTTCTTCTTCTCTTCTTCTTATCTTCTTCTGCTCCTTCTTTTCTTCTTCTTCTCCTTCTTCTTCTTATCTTTCTTCTTCTTCTTTTTTTTTTTCTCCTTTCTTCTTCCTTTTTCTTCTTCTCCTCTTTTTCTTCTTCTTTTCTTCTCTTCTCATTCTTTTTCTTCGTCTCTTCTATTTCTACTCCTTTCATTTCTTTCCCTCCTTATCTTTATTTCCCTTTCCTTCCTCCACCTAATTCTTGTCTTTATTATACTTCACCTTCTCTCTTTCTTCCTCCCTCCTTTTATCTCCCTTCTTCACCCCCTTGTTCATTTCCTCATTTTCCTTCTGCTGTCTTTTTTCTCTCCTTCTTCCTGTTCTCCTTGCCCTGTTCTTTCCCATTTTTATATCTTCCTTTCAGTTTCTTCTCTTCACATTTACCTTCTTCTCTCCTCATTCTCTTCTACTGTTTTCTCCTCCACTCATTTCTTTTATTTTTGTCCTTTCTTTACCTTTTTTTTCTCCTTCTTTTGACTTTCACCTTTTTGGGTCTTTTTTAAATTTTCATCATATCCTCTTCCTCCCTTTCTCTAGGATTTTCTTCCCCTCTGTTTAGTCTTTCTATCCCCACTTATTGTTTTTTTTCTATCTTCACCTTCTTCTGTTTCCAAGATCCTCTATTGCTCCTTATTTCTTTCTTCTTCTTCTTCTCATCTTTTTCTTCCGCTTCTTCATCTTCCTCCTCCTCCCTCTATTCCTCCTCCTCCTACTACTACTACTGCTAATAATAATGATAATAATAATGAAATGGTACTCTTTTCCTCTTCTTCTTCCCTTCTTCTCCTCTTCCTCCTCAACCTGCCACACCCCCACCTCCTCCTCCTCCATCTTTTCCTTCACCTCCTCCTCCCGATTCTCATTCTCCTCTCTTGCCTTCTCTTTTTCTTTTCTCTCCTCCTCCTCTTCCATCTTGCCCCCCCCCCTCATTCTTCTTCTCCATCTCCTCCTATTCCTCGTCTTCCTTCCTGACCTCATTATCAACATTATCCTCCTCCTCATCTCCCTTCTCTTTCTTCTCCCTTCCCCTCCCCCCTTCCTCCCTTTTCCCCTCCTCCCTCTTCTTTTCCTTTGTTCATTATCGCTCCCATATGTCGTTCATAAAATAAGGTAGAAAGAGAGAGAGAGAGAGGGAAGAAAAAGGGATAAAAAGCGGTCTTTGGCCAGATGCTTTGAAAAGTCAAAATGATTATTAAGAATAATTTAAATTTCCTTTTTTTGTAAGTTTGTTTGCCGCCCAAATACTTGATCTCTCTCGCATTTCTCTCCTCCCTCCTCTCTCTCTCTCTCTCTCTCTCTCTCTCTCTCTCTCTCTCTCTCTCTCTCTCTCTCTCTCTCTCTCTCTCTCTCTCTCTCTCTCTCTCTCTCTCTCTCGCTCGCTCGCTCGCTCGCTCGCTCGCTTATCTGTCTATCTCTCTATCTATCTATCTCTACCTCTATCTATCTATCTCTATTTCTATCCATCTATTTATCTATCTATCCTATCTCTATTTATAAATCTACCCCTATCGCTATCTATCTATCTATCTGTCTATCTATATATCTATCTATCCCTATCTGTATCTATCTATCAGTCACGCCAAAAGGAAGGCTCAAGTAAGCTGATTGATTGACATTCACCAAACTCTTTTAAACAAATATTTTGTTTCTATTCACGCAACGTTTTCTGTACTAGCTTTAATAAAATAATGATTAGTATAACAGTTAGTAAAATAGTAAAATAATCTAATAAAATAATGATTAATAACATAATCGCAAAGTTATGATTGATGAGATAATAATAAAATGATGATTAGTGTTTGAAATAAAACGATGATAAATAAATATATAAATAAAAGGCTTTATTCTCACGTAAGTACTTCATTAAAAAGACTTCACAGCAACCCCTACTTACGTTTGGCGTCAATAATTAAGTTGGTCATTAAGTTGTCGGCCATCTGGGACTTCAGGAGGTCCCGGCTACTCTAGTGACCCAGCGAGTAGAACGAGTAGGTGACGAGCAGGGGACGATCCGCTCTGGATGGGGAGACGACTCGTTGGGGAAAAATCGGTGGGAGAGAGATTCATAATGACGAGTTTTTGGGACGACTTGGTGGGACGACTCGCGAAGACGGATTCTTAAAAGATTAGTGAGACGACTTTCTGGAATGACTTGTAGGGAAATCTCACTGTGACGATTTCTTAGGAAGGATTCAGGAAGAATAATTCTTTGAGACAATTCGTTGGAAAGACCAGCAGGACGGACTCGCGAAGACGACTCATAAGAAAGACTCAAGCAGGACGACCTAGCTATAATGACTCACAGGGACGACTCAACTCGGACGGACAAAGACGCAAGAACGCGGGTCGAGGAACCTGGCGAGGACCTTGAGTCGTTCCCGATGACGAATCTTGGCCGTCTGCGAGGTGCCTTTCCCACGAGAATCACGGGAGCGAAGCCCGGGCAACCTCCCGTGTTGATATGCTCCGGGCATGCTTGGCTGAGCTGCTATTTGATAATTATCTCGAATTCCATATGTGCGTCTGTGTGTATGGATATATGGCGTTCATTACATCGGCTCACTGAACGTATAAATCTCTTTTTATATGTGTATGTAGGTTCCTTAATATGGGTCTTTGCGAATGGAGGGCATGGGGGATAAGGTCAGTCAGAATGCGGCCTTTCCACCACACTCGGAGGTTCGAAATGTCTATAACTGTGGCTACTGATTCCACTTTGCGTTGGAGCACAGAAAGGTTTGACCGAAGCGAACGTTAGTCTGCAATGTGTGTTCTTGATACTGTTATTCATATTATACATCGACGTACTCAAATATGAAAGAAACGCGTGCTATAGAACCTTCTATGTAACCGTTTGTATAAGAATAAGACATTGCTAAAAGACGTGGATAGATGAGGAAGAAAAAACTATCCACTTCTCAAAAGTTTTCGATATTTCATTAGAGACAAAAAAAAAAAAAAAAAACTGATTTTGAGAGCGAACGAATTACCACGACACCATCTGGCGGGAGAACCCAAATCACCTTTTGTTTTATGCTCCAGAAAAAAAAAATCAAGAAACGCAACACTTTCAAACCAAAGGAAACAAAAGATGGTAACTGATCCTCCACATCTGGTAAGGAAGGATAAAAGATCGTTTATTAGTCCCTATTAACTGTTAGCGTAAAGGTCAAGATGATAATGTGGGCGGGGGGACTAAACTGCAGGGAAAAGGGACTGTAAAGCGAGCGCGTTAAAGCTTGAATCTTGAAAAGAACTTCTTGGCAGAGATCTCCGCTTTCTGATATATAGTAAGTGAAGAAATAAGTAGAGAAGCAAAAGAAAAGAAGGGAAAGGCTGTACGTATATATATATATATATATATATATATATATATATATATATATTTATATAGAGAGAGAGAGAGAGAGAGAGAGAGAGAGAGAGAGAGAGAGAGAGAGAGAGAGAGAGAGAGAGAGAGAGAAAGAGTAAATGAGTGAGTGAAGAGGAGAAGTTAGAGCGAGTGAGAGAGAGTAGGGGGAAAGAGGGAAGGTAGAGAGAGAGAATGAAATAGACAGAGAGGAAAAAGAGAGAGAGAGAGAGAGAGTGAGAGAGAGAGAGAAGAAATGAAAGAGAGAGAGAGAGAGTAGGGGGAAAGAGGGAAGGGTAGAGAGAGAATAAAAACAGACAGAGAGAGAAAGAGAGAGAGAGAGAGAGAGGATGAAAAAAGAGGAAGCGAAAAAAGAGAAGAGTAATAATAAAAAAGAGTAGGATGAAAAAGAAATACAAGAGAATGGCAAGAGATACACCAACGCACAGACAGAGTACGCGAAAACAAAGGACAAAAACAACAAAAATATAAATCTCTTCCACGCGGTTTTGCTTCTTTTTTACCCAAAGATATTTTTCAAAAATAAAATCCTCTTCCTCTTTTTAGACCCCCTTTGATTATACCGTTTCGCCATGTGTGAAACCAGAAAAGCTAGGACAGATTTTTAGCGTCCATAGCCCAGTCGCAAATTCCAAAAGGTTTAAAAATATTCACTCTTCCTCCTTTTTCTTTTTTCTTTTATTTTACGTTGTTCGTTTTTTGTATTTCTTTTTTGTTCTACTTTTTTTTTGTCTTTTTATTTCGTCTGCAAAAAAAAAATCCGACTCATCTCTGCAATATTTTTATAAAGGATTTTGATTCTGCTGCTGACGTATTTCATTTGCTCTGTAAAATACGAAAAACGTGAATGTCATATGATAAATGATGTCTTTTTTTATCACACAGAGTTAACTTCTTTTCGTGACAGAGCGAAATGACACTAATAGCGATATAAAGTGACGAAATATCTAAATCTATCAAAAAACGGACATGATTTTACAAGATTTATCTATTAGGGAGACAGTCAGTCTAAACGGAGAGTCATCGAATGCCAACATTGTAAAATTATATGTAATGAGAATACGAAAATATTATCTAAACTGTAATCTAACATGAACTTTCGTATATAGTGACAATACGAAACTATTAATAACCTAACATTCACTATTAAAACTGTAATCTAACATGAACTTTCGTATATAGTGACAATACGAAACTATTAACTAAACCTAATCTAACATGGACTTTCGTATATAGTGAGAATACGAAACTATTAACTAAACTGTAATCTAACATGAACTTTCGTATATAGTGATAATAACGTAATCTAACAAACGTATATAGTTTAATAAACTTTTAACTAAACTGTAATCTAACATGCAAGAACTAATAGAATATCGAGAGAGAAAAACGTGTAAGATTTATTTGTTCTCGTTTGAACTCATCAGCCCTGATGTTTTCATGCACAGTGGCACGGGAATACTTGCTGCGGTCATGCACAACTAAAAGGTTGCATCTTGTGTGTGTGTGTGTGTGTGTGTTTGTGTGTGCGTGTGCGTGTGTGTGTGGGGGGTGTGTGCGTGTGTTTGTATGTGTGTGTGTGTGTGTTTGTGCGTGTGGTGTGTGTGTGTGTGTGTGTTGTATGTATGTGTGTGTGTTTGTATGTCTGTGTGTGTGTGTGTTTGTGTGTGTGTGTGTGTGTGTGTGTGTGTGTGTGAGATAGAGAGGGAGAGAGAGAGAGACAGAGACAGAGAGAGAGAGAGAGAGAGAGAGAGAGAGAGAGAGAGAGAGAGAGAGAGAGAGAGAGAAGAGAGAGAGAGAGAGAGAGAGAGAGAGAGAGAGAGAAAGAGAGAGACAGAGGCAGAGGCAGAGGCAGAGGCAGAGGCAGAGAGAGAGAGAGAGAGAGAGAGAGAGAGAGGAGAGAGAGAGAGAGAGAGAGAGAGAGAGAGAGAGAGAGAGAGAGAGCGCGAGAGAATGAGTTCACCAAAGCGCACGGGCGTGAACATCAACACATCCTTGCACCTCTTCTCTTTATACCCACCCACGCATATGCACACCCGTCCGTATCCACACGAGCCTGTATATGAGTGAGTATCTATGGCTGTGTAATGACTTCCCGCGTGAATACACCTCAACACGCCCCGCCTCTCACTCATTACGGATGGAAAGGCATTATAAAGTAGCCACTGTGTGTCGTAAGTCATTAGTGTAGTGAGTTTCGTCAGAATGTGGCTGTTGCTGAAACCTTGCTACTGGAGACGCGTTTCGATGGAGACATGTTTCGAAGAGCGTTCCCTGGATTGTGTTTACGTGTGTGATAGTGTATGATGTATGTGATTTCTCTCCTTTTTGGGAATGATTATGCTAAGCTTAAAGGGTTCAGCAAGTGGGTCATTTCCATTTTTTTGCTCATTCGATTGTCTATTTTTTTCTTATTTATTTATTATATACCATTTTTATTATATTTATTTATATTATTTTATTATATTCATTTGTATGATAATATTTTTTATCATATTTTTTGATAGTTGTTCTTCTTCGTTATGCTTCTCTTTTGTTATTCCTTCTGCACTTGTGTGAGATTTTCCGAGTTCTTCCTTTCATTCCATCTATATTTTTTTCCTCATTCCGATCCTTCTCTCCTTCCTGCCTTCAACCTCTACGCCCCCTCCTTCCGTCCTTCCTCCCTTCCTACGCTTCCTCCTTTTCACTCCCCTTCCTACCTCTTTCATCCATCCCTTTCTCTCCCCCCCTCCCACCCTTCCCCTCCCCTAATTCCATCCCCCCCACCCTCATTAGCTCCACCACTCTCTTCTTCCCTACCTCTCTCCTCCTCCTCCCACTTCCACCCCACCTCCTTCCTACGCTCCTCCCCCTTACCACAACCCCCCCCCCTCTTCCACGCGGTCAGAATCGTACGCACAGTTGCCACCGTCAGCGAGGCAGCCGTCTCGGGGTTACTGATGGGTGACTTCTCCCTCCCTTCCTTCTCTCCCTCCCTCCCTCTCCTCTCACTCCCTCCCTCCTCCCTCCTTCCCTTTACGTCCTCAACCCCTCCCCCTCCTTCCTCTTCCACTCTCCCCCTTCCCCCTACCTTCTCCTTTCCCTCCCCCTCTTACTCAGTCCTCCCCTACCCCCTTCCACCTCCCCTTCGACCCCCTGCCTCCTCCTGCCGTCCGCCTCCTTCCTCCATCCCCCCCCGTTCCCCTCCTCCTTCCTCTCCCCTCCCCCTCCTTCCCACACTCCTTCCTCCTCCATCCCCCCCCCCTCCTTCCCACCTTCCCTCCATCCCTTCCCCTCCGCCCACCACCTCCTTCCGCCCCACCCTCCCTCCCTCCCTCCCTCCTTTCGCCCCCTCCTTCCACCTCCTCCACCGCCGTCGGTACCTCCAGCAGACTCTTTTCCGCCGACATTCATTTTATTACCGCGACGCGAGGCGGACGAGTGGCGCGGCGCTGTCTCGAACGTCGGCGCAGCGCTTTTTGTTTGGTGTTATTGTGATTGTCTTTTGTTATTTTTTTCTTCGTGTGACTTGCCCTGTCGGATTTTATTTATCTCCATATTAACGGGCTGAGGTGTTCCGTGAGTGATTAATCGATCATTGTCTTTACAAGTTGTTGAATTGCCTGTCAAAATTGGGAATATTTTTCACGTGTGTGTGTGAAGTGAAGTGACAACAAATACATGTGCGAGAGACTGTATTTATATCTTGTGTTGCTCGAGTTGCAAGAAACCTCCAGAGGAAAATATGCATAAAAAATATATATATATATTCTGATACATATCAACAGAATGTGTCAGGTTACTGGTGGAGGAAAATATTGGATCTCAAAATGCAGTCGTAGAAGATAAGTGACAGTCAAGGAAAAGAAACATGAACGTGATTTTGAATTCTGACTCTTCGACGAAATTTAGAAGAACGTTAGAAAGAAAATTATGAATGAAAACAATCATCATAAAACTTTTTAAAAAATCTACAACCGATCAAGGTAAATCAATCAAAAAGAAGAAAAAAAAGACATAAAACATGTGACTTGCACATTTCTAGATATGATCACACGACAGGTAATAGGATCATAAAAAAAATCAGTGGATATAGAAAAAATACATATATCTATATATATTTCCATATGTGACGCCAAAATTTGAATGAAAAATATGACATACGATAGTCATGTGACCTACCGCTCCTCCACACACACATGCACGCCCCAGAGTGAACGAAGGTCATGCACCAATAAAGACTAATTTTCTACACGAGTGAAAGAAAAAAGAAAGAAAAAAAATGAAAAGGAAGGCAAAAGCGAAGCGGTTTCCCTGAACGTGAAATTCTAATGGAATTTGACCTCTAAGATCGAAGGGAATAAGGATCATCTTCAAGGGATTATCGACTGGAAAAAAATGCTTTGTTTATAATAGATTTCAGTATATCGAAGAACATTTAAGATATTAACTTTAATGGAAAAAACGCACAGTCATCTATATAAAATCAAATAAAGGGAAAAAAAGAGTGACTCGCAAAAAATGTGTATTGGAATTTCCTGAAATAATTGACGTGTTTTAATGTAGACAGCAGAAAAAGACGGTGAAATGAGTAAATAGATGATAATAACAGTCAGGCGAATGTGGCGTATCAAAATAGACAATCATTAACAGAGACTGAAAATCGGTTACCAACTACCTTTTAATCATTAAAATCCACAAGAACTGTAAAAATAAATCAGTGGTGATAAGGATCAACCAAAACAGAAATAAACTTATCAATTCCCTTTCAATGAACATAAACAACAGCAGGTGAAAGCAGCCGGAGAGAGGAAGGCCACTCGCTACCTGCTTACGGAAGCGATGGTCAGAGCGGAAGACAATCTGACCGTAATTAGATTCCTTGACAAGAAAACCCCGCGCGTAACTGTATCTCACCGTGTATTTTTGCGTACGACTGAACTCTCTCTAGAGATCCGCCCTTTTTATGGTGATTTATGGTGCGGCTTGTTTATTTCTTTCGTTTTTTTTTTTCTCTCTCTCTCTCGCTGTTTTTCGGGTGAGTAAATACGTATGGGTGAAGTGGTTGTTGTATTGTTATGGAAACGTTTGGGACTACAGATTCGGCGGGAAAGTGAACAGGATCTCTCTATGTCAGGGTTGTGGAGTAGAGTGATCAGAACTTCATTTCTAAGTTCTATAACAGTTATACGAAAATATAACGGAATACAAGCATCCAAGTGCCATGTTAAAGGAGTGTGTAGCTTAACGAAGAGAACAGACAAATGCATAGTGACTGAATACTGTTAAGAGACGGGATCACCAAAGCACAACCCGGACTTATTCTGGTCACGCGGGAAGAGAGTCAGTGGAGGATTGAAGACAATTTATACAAAGTGCGAAGAGCTGTTCGTTTGCAGATCACTCCCGCTTCGACACGCGTCTGTGTGTGTATGCGCGCGTGTGTGTCTGTGAGCGTAACATGGCATACGCGCCTATAATGTTTTCTCCTTACACATACACGGCGTTTGTTCCTCTGTTTGAACTAGTGACTAATAAATACGAGTCTTGATCTCATGCACATACTTCAGCACTTGAACTTGTGCTAGAAAAAATGGGAAAGGAGCAAAGGAGATGAAAATGACACGGAAGACGGCTAGAAAAGCTTGCACGCCTCCACGTCGTTGAAAAAGAAGTCGTGGAAAGATGATGAGACAACTCACTTCCGACAGAAAAACGAAGGTGAAAGAAAAGCCAAAGACGAAAAGGGAAGGAGACAAAGAGAAAAAAGAGACTAAACTGAAAGGCAAAGATGACAAGGAGAAAGGAGAAGCGGCGACTAAAAACAAAAAGACAGCGAAAAAGAGATCAAACAGTACCAACAAACCGAAGAAGAAATCGGAGTTCCTGGCCTCGGAAAACGCCGGGATTAAACTCCTGTACATCCACCAAGGCGAGGACACCCTGCCGAAGGACAAGGAAGGAAAAGATAAGGCTTCGAAGAACAGACTCGGCTCCTCGCGACGAGAGGAGAGCCGCAATGGCCTCCTGCACCGACAGCAGGAGAAGGAGGCTCGCCCGAGAGTCCTCAGAACAAACGTCTCGAAGTTTGGTTCGTCCAACTCCTTAAGCTACGAGTCCTCGCCTTACTCTAGTCCCAGTCCCTCCTCGACTCCCACGCGCGGGCACAGCGAGAGGAGAGACAAAAGGCAACAGAAGTACGTCATTCAGGGAGATTCCAGCGACTCGTCGCCGACAAGCACCATAAACAGAGGGCGCTCGAGGACAGGGTTTTATGCATTCAACGACCTCCATTTTTCAAGGTCTAGTTTCTCCTCGTCGGACTCCAGCAGCCTCAACAAAAAAGGCGTCGTCGCAGGGAAGAAGTCACCCCGCCCCGTCTCTTTCTCCCGAACGTCTGAAGCCACGAAGGGCAAAGCAAAGGGTCCTAAGGACGCCACTA